CTTTATTTCCGAGTCGTGTGACAACTTAAGGTGGACACTATTAACTATAATGCCTTCGAAGAGAATTAGCACATGAAACCTGCGAGACTGCTCCGACTCAGCGATGCATCATCATACATCTCTGTCTAGTATAATATTGGCTTGCCCATGATCCCATAATACATTTTATTAATTATGAAATTGATCAGTATAAATTAACTATATATAGATAATGGTAGGATAAATATAGGGTGTAATAATAGCATGTGGACGGATGACACTTAGAATTGAGAAAACGTGATATTTCGATAGGTGTACCTGAGTGATGTGTCACTTGAGATAATTTCGACAGATTTTGCTTCAATACATACACAATACATATACAAACATGTTTTGCGTTGAGCTATCATCCTTTAGTTAATTTCATTTTCTAGATATTATGCCACACAATCACACTAACTTTTATATATTAGCTTCCGCCAAACAGTATACATCAGTAAAATGTTTCACTGATCCTTAATACGTTAGACTATAATATAAGAATGAGTATCTTTCACAAGAATATTTACTTAACTTTTTATTTCAATTCGTTAAGATACTTAGATGCGCGCCGAGCTTACCTAAGTACTGCCTAATTCCTTTCGAACATATCCGTCATGCGGGTTGCGTTAGTTTGTATCACAGTATTCAACGCCAACACAGCGCATGATATTTCTATACGACATTGAGTGCAAATAGCCAGCCCATGGGACGATAAGTTGGAATAATGTAATCAGAATATAATCAGACGAAAAATATATATTTGATAGGGGTCTTCGCTTTGGTGTTTCCGATTCTCTACAGCAAAGTAATCGTTTTGCAAATGGCGAACTGTTGACATTTTTCCGTGTGAAACATTGAAGCTGTAGACAAAGGCATGCAAAACATTTACTTCCGCACCTAGTGTCAGTCATCTTTGGTATGTTATAGTAATACGTTAACGACATATCCTATCACATATACCAAACATAAATACAACTGGCTACTGATTAGAATATGTCCTAGTTTAATACATTTACAATATATTAATAAAAAATAAACAATTAACATTTTATAATGTGTCAGTAATATTATGTCACTGAGAAATGTAATTACCTCGAACATTTCAAATTAAATCAAGTGGACATCGGACGCATGAGATGTATTTCCTTATTCATGTATTGAATGTTTTCTCCGCTGTGATGGTATGGGCCCACATGTGCCGTGCACAAGCTAGCATTCATTCTATTCGGTCTTCCGGTAACCCGCACGCAATACATTGGCGCTTCTGTAAAGTACAATAATCCGTCCCCGAATTAGGCTTCTCCACTATAATCCTTTCTAGTGATATTAGATAACCCAGCAGAGTTTAACTTTCGGGAAACTTTTTCCCATTCCAGTGGGTTCTAGCAAGGAAAGGAGAAAAATTGGAATCATTAACACAAGTTGAACAAGAGGAAATACAGAATAATATTCAGTGGAACAAGCAAACAATAATCAAATACATAAATTTTTAAACTACCTAGCTGCACCCCGAAGAGCATATTGCTGGTCGCCTTCGCATCAAATATATCCCGCAAACTCCAACCGTGGTTCCGGAAAAAGAGTAGATGACATAACAGTCGGGCGGACAAAACTGCTTAGCTTTAGATGCTAGGTTGCTGGAGGCAGAGAGGATTGGAAGCATTTCTGTGTTCGTACTCAGAGGCTTGCACGTTGTACGTAAGGCCAGCAGCGAATAATTCCTCTTGTTGCTACCGGCACAGAAGACAAATTATATTATATACAGGCTGTGGAGTGATCACAAATCACTTGCGGTTTCCTTCCGCAACGTGGATAAGAGCAGGAGCTGTTCCTGGAAAGGTCAACATCCAGATATTAAAGAAGTCAACTTTAGTACTTTATTTGGTGTGGAAAAACAGAAACAAACCAAAACATTATAAAAAAACCATAAACCAACTTCAAACACGCTTGTCTGGCAAGGTTTCTCGCGGCCGGTCTCGAGCGAAGCAGGGCAGAGGGAGGCCCTCCGAGGCGGAGGGAGCCTGCCCGCCAAGCGAGACGTGCCGACCCCGCTTAGAGCTACGTGGGCCATATGTAAGATGCGCAGCCGCTGGGCTTCCCAAAGCGTTACCAGCTGACCTCGCCCGCCAACCACCACAGAAAATTGCCACACCCTTCCATTCGGAGGCGTTGATTGGAAATTGGCAAGAAAATCCATTTCAACAATTTTAAACTACCACAGACCTGCGGGACTCATTGTTGCTCACCGTTGCCTGCTTTGATGCCCCAGGACAACGTATAAATGCATAGCGCGATGCAGGAAGAGAGACCAACTTTAGGCGTGCAGACAGGAGAATGACGTGTCGGAGACTCCAGAGAGACCGGTGAGACGGCTCAGAAGGGGCGACAGAAAGTGATATAACAGCAGAGAGAACATAGAACACTGTGTGTAAAAAGAGACGTGAGAACATGAGACGGCAAAGGCAAACTGGGACAGGAAATGAGGCACAGACGAGAGAGACACGTAACAAACGCACACATTCAGAGAGAGAGAGAGAGAGAAGAGAGAGAAAGAGAGAGAGTAGAAGAGAGAGAGAGTCAGACATAATAGAGTCGATACAGAGAGAGAGAGAGAGAGAGAGAGAGAGAGAGAGAGAGAGGCAGATACAGAGAGAATTAATAATTCCTTTATTAATGGCGACGCTCAGGCCATAGGGCCTGCTCTTCCTCCTAACCACTGAATTTACATACATATAGACATTTTAATACATACATATAGACATTTACATACATATAAACATTTTAGAGAGGAGGACAAGCTATATATTTACGTCTGTGAGAACAAATCTAGGGATCATCTCGGCATACGCCTTAAGCGATTGAGTAAACCCAGAAAACCTCAATCAGGATTGCCGCTTAGGGCCGAATATTAATAGTACTGAGTAAGTTGTACATAGTAGTGAAAGGGAAGTTTCGTGAAAGAAAAGACGTACAGGGAAGGGAACATTTCTTGCATCTCGTAAATATTACGAGGATTGGGGCAAACGAGATGGCAATGTTTGTTTTCTAAAATAAATATTATTGACTAGCGCAGTTTATTTGTGGCGTGGAAGAAATTCTGCAATGTGGTGCTTTCATCCAATTTAGCCGAGACGTCTCTGTCAATGTCTCTCTTAGAACAGAGAGCGACGCGAAATCAGTTCTCGGAGTATCCGCCTGGGAGATGAGTGTAAGTCAGCCCTTCTCAGCAGTGGGAAGCATGCGCAGTAGAATGTCCGTAGCAACCATTCATTAGCACCGACCTGAGTGTTCGGACCGACGTGGTGAGTGCGGTAATGAGCATCTACCGAATTGGACCTTTAGAACGAGCATGCGATGCCTTTGGAATGTGAACTAATACACGGCAAAATGCTTTGGAACATTAAACCAATACTGTCCTTTCAAATACCTTCACACATACGAGAAAGAAAATTTTGGTGTGTCGCTATTTAACGACACAAATGGACATTTGTCCTCACACTTAGTTCATACTTTGTTCTTTCATCTGTATACTTCACATTTTGCACTCGTGCTCGTTTTCTCACAAACGAGTTGCCATGATGTATGCCCCAATTATTGCATTTGAAGCAAGTACCATTAAAATGATAATAAAATCGATTAAATGAACGAAACACATGTTTAAAAATGGTGAAAAAGGTAAAAGAAGACTTATTGGTCGAAATCAACAAAAAAACAAAGCAAAACGTCATCAAAATAACATATCCATTTGTCATAACATCAAATTAATGTCTATATTAAAAGGCGTTGTTCTAACTTGAAAGAAAACAATGATATTTCTTTAAAACCCGCCCCCTAATGATGAAGCAATGGTAGAATGACGGGTATGGAAACGGGAGAACCGAGAGAGTATATATTTTGTCAGCCACAAATTCTACACTGGTTGACAACAATTGGAACCACGGCACGAAGAGATGGGAGGAGAGCTCTCCAACCGCTGAACCAAATACCGCCTCAAGTGCTCTGTGCAATAATTTCTTCGACTCGCCTATTTCGGCTTTCGTGGTTTCGGTGGTGTAACAATTCGTGTATCGCCTGTTAGACATGAGTTCGTGGGAATTTGGGTGAAAAAATCCTTCAGATAACATCCTTCGTGGCGAGGGAAAAGTAATGCCGCCGGCCCCGTGTTGTAGATTTACTACTTGTAAAGGATGCTCAAGACAACAAGAAGCCTCTGCGCTAAATCTGAATCGCTTGTTTCGTCGCCTGATTTACTCCTCAGCCAGATGGCGAACGAGCCGTCGCGAAAATCGCGTGGTCAAGGGAAGAACCGCATTGCCTCGTGGCCTCTTTGAATTGAATTTCGCGGACTTACCGTGTTTTTATCCACACTAGACTTTGGTTTTTGGGCAGTAGTAGATGAGAAATGTCTACCACCTAATCTAATTACCCTTGTGCAGCTTGAGCCTCCGTGGCGTTGCGGCGACTTCTGGATACTACCAATATTCAATTCCAGGTCGTCTCATGAGGAATTTGTACTGAACATAGGAGGGCCATGTCAGGTATACTCGTTTTCCCTGCCATTTCCCCTGTCGTTCCTCAATTGCACCATTAGTCAGTTAACCCTCACTCAGTCAGTGATACCTTATTTAACGTGGCGAGACTCAGGCTCTCTCCCCCGCGTGCATGTGAAAATCTTCCTACGCTTCTTTCGCCACCTTTCAGAAAAAGAATGTTTCACTCGGACAACAAAACTGTCTATTTGAATTTAGCTCACATTCTTCTTTACGTGCGTTACATCTACAGTCGGCTTTCCTTCTCTCCGAAGACATAGGAAGGATTTTTTTGGCCCTTAAAAACCCACAGCCTCGATCAGATTTGAACCTGCCAACTTTAGTACATTTCCATACGCTAACCGTGACAAAACAGAAGCCGTTCACCATCACCACTACATCGTCATAAGTATCTTTTTATAATCAACGTATTGCCCATTCGTAGTGAACGGTTCAGGTAGAGGAAATGGTTGTGAACATGAATGTGCAGTGCCGGAGAGTTTTGCTGAGCTCCCGTTGGCGCGTGTTGCAGGCCGGAGGCCGCGCGGTTCCTGCCGCCGCCGCCGCCGAGCCAGGAGGCCAAGGCGCTGGAGGCGGGCGCCTTGGAGCCGTCGCAGCTGGCCCGCGCGCGCACACGCGCCACCTGCGCGCAGGTATCTATGCGCCTCGGGGCAGAAGAGGCCCTGCGCTGGGGCGGGGAGATTATCTGCAACTAAAATCTCCAGAACGTAGAAACACTGAACGGTGGCAGAAAATAAAAGTTACCGAGCGCAGTCGAAGATGGTCGACTCGGGTTGCGTGCCAATCAGAGGCATGAGTAACTTGAGTAACTTTGTTCGATATATGAACTCACCGCAATTTTATTGAAAAAAGCAATTATCTCTGATCTCCTTTCTTAACCTAGGCGTTTGTAACATTTGCTGTGAGACGCTGAATAACATTATATGCAAATTAAATATTTAAATAAGAAATACAGTATGCGGTTTTAATAAATGTAAATGCTTATTCTAAAAGATTTTCAAATAAATGCATATATTTCATTTAATAAAACGTAAGTTATAAGTTTAACTTGTAAATACAGTTAACATATACAGTACGTACTGTAGTAATAACTCATTTTTTCAGCAATTGCGTAAACCTATGTGAATAAAAAGGGGTTTTTGCTTCATCCCTTACTAAATACAGTAAAACCATTCTAAACAGGAATCGATCGGGAGGCAAAAGTTATTCCGGTTTAGAGACGTTTCCGTTTTATGCAGAGTTGTTCATTTCATGACATTTGTGATATTGATATTTCCCTTTTGAAAGTAGTAAATTATCTGGCATAATTGCAATTATTTCAATGCATTAACATAGTGTAAGATAAAGTACTACCAAGGCAAATTGCACATTCTCCCATTACAGTAGGGAGCACATTTTTTTCATACCTCCAGGATAGAAGTAGGTGATTTCAAAGGAAACGATCATGCTAATTACGAAAATCATTATGACCAGTTTTTATCGCGCAAGGTTCATACGATACGGACATGTTCAATATTTGAAATTAAATTCTATACCAATTTCCGCATTGATATTCCGGGTATATTAATCATTAACAAAGTTTTATGAATATGCTTCATATGGCGTAAGAACAAATGAAAAATGGAAAACGCATATTTGGACAACAATATGCACACATTAATATGGTTTGTTGGTATTCTCCACAACATTGATGGTGCGAGTGACAATGATTTGAGTTCTCCTTACAACCACAACTTACGTTCGCTGTAGAGATACACAACACTGGAAATAATGTTTTTCGCTGTTTTGGAGTATAATAACTGTAACGTAATAACTGTTTTTGCGTAGTGTCGTACTTTAAACAATGTTTTAATTGTGAATTTCTGTAGAGCCCATGCTTTGCATCATCACAAACTGTCCAAGTTCTTTATAGAATACGCAAGTTTTGTAATTTCATATATTTTTTCCTTTAATGTTTGGGTGTAAACCATTCACAAACGTAACAGACGTTATGGGGTTGATTCGCATACGTTCGATGTGAAATGATGATTTGCATTGTATCGATCAGATTCAATTCCAGTGTATGAACTCCACCGAACTGTGATGCATTTGAGGCGCCGCAAACCAGCTCCGAACGCGTGCACTGCGGGGCAGATCCGCCTGACACCGTCTGACTCAGGGTCCGATAACTCAGTGCGACAATGAAATTTGCCGCAGAACACAATATGGGATTGCAATGTATCTCGGCGTTCTGATGACGATATAAAAAGCCATTTTCGTTGTCACATTAACTTTCTTCTGCAGACGCAATTTGATCTGCGAACGGTTGCGTTATTCATGTTGCCGCGGGGCTTATCACATTCTTTTATTTTAGCGGGGCACATTCTTTTATTATCACATTCTTTTATTTTAGGAATATTATTGGCTGGTGGTGTGATTAGTGAGGGGAAGATGAGATAAGCACTTGGGGTAGGTAAAAGGAAGTTGCACTTGCATCGGTCAATCCATAGAGAAATAACACAGAATCTATTCTTGAAGTGGGTAAATCTGCTAACATGAGGAGTATTGTTTGTGAATGTTCTTGTTTTTCTTATACTCAACGATGTCTAGGAAATCTGTCAATTCTCCAAATCTTTTTTGTGTGGAGAGCTTGCTACGAAGTCTCAAAGACATCACCTTTCTCCGATTGACAAAAAGGCACACGAATAGTATTTTGAATCAAAGGTAGATGAGTATAAGCGTTGGTCACCACAGAACTGGTGCTCCTATTAAGAAACTTATTACATGGAACCCACCTATCTATGCCATTTGCCGTATCACAGTTGTGAAGGGAACCTAGAAAACACATTACATATTGGTAGTTATGTTTCACGAAAGTAATCGTAATCTCAAGTAAATCGATACACACAGCTTCGTATCGAAATTTGGAATCGACAATGCTCCCAGGTCCGCATTATAATTCTCTCCCAGTTTCAAAAGCACCAACGGAATGGGAAAATGAAAAATGACACATCGTTTGAAATATTGTAATAATATAAATGGGCTGCTGAAAAATTATGGATGATTCACAACCGGAAAGAATGATGCCTATTCATAGACTCCTCAATTAGTAGTCTCAAAGCCATTCTCTTACATAACAGAAAAGTGAAGAGAAACCTTCGATACCAGTGGCCCTTTCCCTTCAGTTAAAGAAAAACTACGAGAACATGATGTACTCATGAACGATACTAGCTATTCGAATAAAAAAATCTATAATCATCTCAAAGTTCTGGGACATCTAAGTAAGAAAAAAAATGTGTCGCCTGAATCCCTAATTTAAGAAGACAATGTGATGTTACCACCACTGCTTCTAAAATTGGGCTTCATGAATAATTTTGTGAGACCAATGGACACAGATGGCTAGGGTTTTCAGTTTTTACTGTCTAAATTTCCTGCCATTAGTACTCACAAAATTAATGAAGGAATTTTCATTGGGCCTCTCGTCCGTGACTTGATGACCTTTAAGCAGTTGCCCACGGATTCTGAGAAGGCAGCTCGGCCTGCGTTAGAAGACAATGTCTTGGCTGAACTGAACACATGCTGGGCTGTTACAAGGCCAAGGGGTGCAGCAAGTCTCTGAAGTTACGTTTCCTTCATTCCCACTTGGGTTTCTTCCCACCTAATGTTGGAGACGTGAGTGACGTACATGGTGAGCGATGTCACCACGATGTCGCGGTGATGGAAAGACGACGTAAAGGTCGTCAAACGCTCGGTGGATTAACCCTCCGAGAAGTATCTCCTTCCACCCACAAAGGGAAGTTTCCAGGAGGTCACGTTCCACGTTCCTAACTTGTAAGTTCATTTCAATGCACGTGACTTGTTTTCAAAACATCCTCTGCTAAGATCTGCTAAGACCACTAAGGGCTGGTTTCACCAACAAGAATCAAATTCGTAGTTGATTCGAGTTTCGTGATCCTGATCCGCGGAGTCAAGGCCGACTTGATCCCTGTGCGTTTCACCAACGTTTTGAAATCGAACGGTATGACTTCTGTTTGTAGTAAAGGCCAAACAATACACAGTTAAGCTAGGGAAATTTTATAGCGTCTCGTTATTAAGAAATGTGACGAAGAATGTAATTCGGGCGTTCTTCAACACACGCTGCATAACAGAAATTTAACTAGTAGTAAACTATACTGAAGTATCTGTTCGAACTGTGTCATCAATAATTTTTTATTAATTAAGACGGATGTGAAGCCGACGGGGCAGTCCTGAGTACTCCCAGTAAGAAAAGGCCATGTTGCGAAGATACACAAAAATTCACATTAATGGCATTCACTCATTGCTTCTTTGTTTTCCTTATTTTCGTATGATGTTTTAATGTTTGTCTATGGATACTTGGCGTAATATATTTGGGACCGCTAGAAGTTGCAGATTAGGCGGGGGAGGGGAGGAGGGCAACTTCCAAGAACATAGCGCATTCCTCAGCCTCACAATCAAGTCAGCTCCCAACTACAAGAATGAGGTGGCTCGTGAATGAACAGACGCAGTAGACACTTGGACGTGGAGCAGGAAGTATAAAGCGGAGAAGGGCACCGCGTAAGCGAGCTGATCAGTGAACTTTGTGTGAGCATTCACCACGTTGTCTGTTTGCGAACCACTGTCCCAGTGCCATATCGGACTTGGAAGTCCCGGGGCCCTCCCCTACGGCCAGTTTACCCGAGTCCAGCCTCGTTCGTGCCCTAGTCCCTGCCCTAGTCCTTTGCGGCAGGTGGTGATGAAAGAACGACCGCCCGATGCAATCGTAGAAACAACCTGCTCAATAGTTTTCACAATGGGCAGAAAGAAGCAGACCTGCAGAGAAAATTCAAGATTTTCTGAATGAAATATAAAGAAAAAGGTTTTACAAAATCTTGGAATCTCGGACATAGAAGGGAAAATTCGATGGATTATTTAATACGATATAAGCAATACTATAGTATACAACATACTTTAGTTTTTACTCCAAACGCATGCCTATTATTATTATTATTATTATTATTATTATTATTATTATTATTATTATTATTATGTACAACGGAGTCCTTATATTTCTTTATTTTCAAACATTATATTTCTTTGCAAAGAAAGCAAATGACCAGACGAACGTCAGAAAACTCTATAGGGTATTCCAGCCCAGACCAAGACAAGATAAAGAAAAGTGTATTCAAGATAGAGACGAAGATGTGAAAGACCATGACAACAAATGGAGATCTTAAGAAATTTTCGAGGTCATCTGAAATATGACCACGGAGTGGAAACCAACAATGGCGAATGTTAAGAACGAGAACGACAAAATAAATTCAACAAAAGAACAGATCACGAAAAGATGGGAACAATTCACGAAAAAGTTATTAGAGAAGAACTTACAAATAGAGTAGTAGATAAATATTGATGATTACGAAAGAGAATCAGAGATAGAAGAAATGCATGGGCGAAAAAAACACTGAAAAATGGGAAGTCTCCGGCTGTAGATAATATTCAAATCGAACTATTGAAAAATCTTCTTCTTTGGTCCTATCTTCCATATACGGAAGTTAGGTGACCCATAACGGGTTTTCTTGGGATAATTTATTCAGGGTGGTTTCCCGCTGCCTTTCCGGACATGATGATGATGATGATGATGATGATGATAGGGCGTGAAAAGACGAACACAACACACCCATGACCGAGGCGGGACTCGAATCTGCAATCTTTCGATCCGAGACTACTGCCTTAGTCATCTCGGCCACCGGATCGGCTGTTCAAAGATACTGGAGAAGAAATCTTGGCGAAACTAACGCAATTTTGCCATGTGATCTGGAAAAGAAAACAGTGAACAACAGATTTGCAACGCACTATAATTATTCCATTACCAAAGAAAGTACACTGCCGAGATTGTGCAAATAACAACACAATTGCATGAATACCGTGTGATTCAGTCAATCGGCAAAAGTCATCCCTCGGAAGAAGAAGAGAAACAAGATTTTAAAAATGTTGATGTAAGCATATAGTTTCCTATGATTTTCAAAACAATTCACACTGAAAGAAG